TTATGCATTTGGTGTACTTATGGTTGATATTCGGGCATTTCGTGAGTATAAGCGTTATGGCTCGATGTGTGTTTTCTTTCGATTATTATATGTGGATCGGGTGGCACGCCGCCACGGGTATATGGTTGGATCGGGTGGCACGCCGCCACGGATATATTGTTTGGATCGGATGGCACGCCGCCACGGGTATCATGGTTATATCGGGTTGCACGCCGCAACTGTATCATGTGTAGATCGGGTTGCACGCCGCAACAGTGTGATGTTAAGCATAGTTCCCTATATCTATTCCTGTGCATTTTGTCCCGCATTTTCTGAGAAAGATTCATGACACCTTTTCGGTTGTTTAATTAGTCACGTGGGTTGAGCAGTTCTTTTCGGAGTTCATTTTTTTCCTATGTATCACATTCGAGTTTGTAGCTTGTTGGCACATTGTGGCATCATATGAGACTTTTGGTGGTATATGATGTGGCTTATCACCTGAGCAGCTTGTACTGGGTGAGACGAGATTATTGGACTTGGGATCAGTGCGATAAGATTTATATGAGGCTCATTAAAGAGTAAATATCGATATTCAATCCAGAATGAGGTAATGGTTCTTATCGGGAGGAGAGACTCCATGAGTTGTGATTGGGCAGGTGGTTATGAGTTTCTACACATCTCTTCTATCATGGCAGTATTGCGAGAGTTGAAATGGGACTTATATGCTTCATGAGGTGTGTTGTGGGCATCAGATTCGAGGGATTTCGGCTATTGTTGTCAGGGGATGTCATTATGGGCATGTGAATAATGTGGTACATGGTGTGAATTCAGTGAGAGTATACAATCATGTATTGGTACATCGTGTAGTGATGGATACAGTGTTCGTATGTTGGAAACAGACCTGGTAGAGAATTTCAGATCTTGGAATTTGGCTATAAGGCTTATTTGACTAGATAAAAGGGAGGATTTTCAGGTTTGCTCGAGCTAATGTGCTCAACTGAGTTGCGGTAGCACGGGTAGGTGCACGAGGTGTTAAAACGGTGATTTCAGACAACTCCGGAACAGTTCTTAGCACGTTCGAGGACGAATGTATGTTTAAAGTGGGAGAGAATGTAATGACCTGACCGGTCGTTTTGAGCTCCAGCGCGTCGTTTGGCGGTTTGAGGCCTTGAGTAGCTTCACTTCAGGTATTATGACTTGTACGTGTGGTCGAAATTGAATTTCGGAAAGTTCAGAGTTGATTTGGAAAGAGAATACTAATTTCAGAAGCCTTAAGTTGGAGGAATTGACTAAAGTGTGATTTTTAAGTAAACGACCTCAGAACTGGGATTTGAAGGTTCCAACAGGTTCGTATGATGATATTGGACTTGGGCATATGTCCGGATCGGAGTTTTGGATGACTCGTGGGCTCGGGTGAGTCTCATAGTAGCTTCAGAGTGTTTTGTGAAGAAGTTGGATTGCTGGTTCTAGTGTGATCGCATTTGCGATGTAATGGTCGCAAATGCGAACATCGCATTTGCGAGGAGGGGTTCGCATTTACGAAGGGTGGGAATTTTCTTAGGGGTTCTCATTTGCGAACAATTTGTCTCTTTTGCGGATCAGTCCCCTTTGCATTTGCGAAGATCTTGGTCGCAAATGCGACCTGTGCAGGGGAAGCTTGGCTTCGCATTTGCGATGCATTTATTGCAAATGCGACCGTCGCATTTGCTAGCCATCTGCGACTGGAGCTAAGGGCTTTTTATTCCGAGACTTAAAGCCTGATTGGATTGGCTTAAAAAAAGTGACTTTTAAGTTAAGTGCTTAAAAGCACTTTATAAGTGCTGGAACTTGTTTTATAAATAAGCAGTTACGTGTTTGGATAAAAGTGTTGAAACTGAAAACAAGTTGATGAAGTGTTTGGTAAAAAAGTGCTGGTAAGCACTTTTTCTTGTTAAAATGACTGAAATATCCTTAAAGATATTAACATTATAAAGAAGATGATGACTATAATATTATATTTTCCGTTCATAGCGTTAAATTCAGGGGTAACACGTAAATTCATTGAATGATTTGATTTTAGAATATAGTTACACTAATTAAAAAAAAAGGGAAGGATTCAACGACCAAAAGAATTAAATGTTATGGAACCAAAAAAAGAAGCTAAAAGAACAATACTGACAAATATTGGAGAATGACAATAGCAAAGGCAAGATGAAGAACGAAGATTAGAACTGACATAAGGAATGTGACGGGGAAGGGAGCAGCACTGGGGAAGAAAGAAAGGAAAGGGAAAAGAGGGGAAAATAATGAATGAAAGTGTAAAGAAAGAAATGAAAGGAAAAGAGAGGAAAGTTATGGAAGAAGACGAAGAAAAAAGTAGAGGCTACTGCAACAAGAATGGAGAAAAGAAAAGATAGTATGTTGTAGGGTTTTCTACTGAGGGGTAATTTAGGGATTAAAAAAATTATAATGGATAGGAATATAATATTTTTGGTCAAAGCAATATGGCTTTTAAGCCAATTTCGAAAAAGTTGGATTTTCCAACTTATTGGTTTTGGCTTTTTTGAAATAGATTTTAACTTTATTAACCCTGTTTTTGGTTACCAAACACTTCCACAAGTTAAAAATGGCTTAAAAGCTAGTCAAGCCCATCCAAACAGGCTCTTAGCCCATTTCTCTCATTTCCCACTTGGACTTGGGCGATTTTTGAGAGCATTTTGAGAGGGGGTAACATCATCATCAAGAGGTAATTGATTTCTTCAAGTTGTGAGTTAAATACAAGGTTTATATATGGATTTAGACATGAAAATTGGTAAAAATTTGGGATTTGGAAGAAAAACCTAAAATTGATATTTTTGAATTTTGACCACGCATTTGGGCATGGAATTGGAAATAAATTATATATTTAAGTTCGTGGAGTTATGGGTAAAGTTTGTCTTTGAAAAGTTTTGGAATCCGGGTACGTGGGCCCGAGGGTGATTTTTATCGACATTTCAAACAGAGTTGGAAATTATTGTAAATAGGATTGTAATGAGTATTAGAGTATATATTTATGGAATTGCTTATTTATTGACTAATTTTGGAGTGTTGGGCATCGATTTGAGTTGTTTGAAAGGCTTGGGAGCCGGTTATGGAACTTTGGAGCGAGGTAAGTCTCCTTTCTAACCTTGTAAGAGGGAATTAACCCCATAGGTGAAATAATTCAATACGTGCTTCTATTTGTGGGGGCTACGTACGCACGAGGTAACGAGAGTCCATGCGTAGCTACTAATATGCTTATGTCCGGGTAGTCTAGGACACAGATCATGTTATAATTGCGATGCTTACATCCTACTTGGTAATTTAAATTGCTTATATCATATCGAAACTTGGTAAAGGAACTTTAAAGGGTTAAACTTCATTCTTTTTGACCGTAAATGAGAATTTGTATTTTTCTTGAATGGTCGTTGCCCTTAATAAATCTTGAATTTGGTTGTCTTAAATTGTATTATCTCTTTTATGGAGCGAGCTGAACGCCTCGGCAGGTTAAATAGATGCATATATTGTTCACGCCGTTCGACCTTCGGCAGTGCACAGTTTAAATATTTATGTTGGATCGGGTCGTACGACCTCAGCATGATTTGCGCATGATATATCTTTGGAATTGATATTGCTTTCATTGGCCCAAGGTCCAAAAATGTTAAATGACGAAAATAAATTTGGAAATTTCTTATTAACAAATGAATTATTTACTTACTTTATGATATTGAGCTTACAACCGTTCTACGTAATCCATGCTTAATTATATCATTGATATTTTATTTATAGCCTATAGTAAGTGTCGAAGTTGACTCCTCGTCACTACTTCTTCGAGGTTAGGCGAGATACTTACTGGGTACGCGTTGATTTACGTACTCATACTACACTTGCTGCATATTTTTGTGCAGGTACATATATGTTTATTGGCCTTGTGGGCGCAGAGGCGCGGTTATGGCGGGGACTTATGTGAGCTGCATTCTATATTACGATCCACAGTCAGCAGAGTCTCCTTCAGAGTATTTATATTTCTCCTGTCCAAATTTGTATTCCGAACAGATGTTGTATTTTATTTTATATTCATAGTTGAGGCTCATGCACTTGTGACACCGGGTTTTGGGGTGATTATGGGTTGTCCTGTATTGAAATTGTTAAAAAATATTATTATTTACTCTGTAAATTCCATCTTTTACTATTTAATTGAAGGAAATATGATTTCAAAAATATTAAAATGAGAACCAAATTAAGGATTTATTTTTGGCTTGCTTGACAGCGGTGTCTGGCGCCATCACGGCCTTTAACGGATTTTGGGTCGTGACAATCGGGAGTCTCAATTTGTTCTTTTGATGTATTATCTATTAAAATTACTATCCTTAAACAAGGGATTATTGGGTAGGTTTATATGAATTCTTCATTTTAGGAGTTAAAACAGATAAAAATTAAAAAGGTATCATGTTTTACCCATATCTTATCAAGAGGTTATTTGCTAGATGTATTAGATTATGTTTAATGTCTTTTATTACCCCTCTACGATATCTCAATATTCTAGACGTTATGTATGCACAAATGTACTTTGTTCTAATTGGTTTTATAGAATAATGTAGCTCTCATGAGAGTTAACGACGGAAGATAGTAAGAATTCTATTGTTGTGATTGGTGATATACTGTTTTATTTTCCTTTTTGCACAGATAGATCAGAAACTATCACAAGATACTAGGGAAGCTATTTATAGTGTAGTGCAAAAGCTAAATACTAATCTTCTTGTACTAAATTTTCATGAAACTTGAAAGCTTAATAAATATGTTTTCTATCCATGATGTTGTTGTTGTTGCAATTGTTGTATAAGTTTTTGCTGCTGAGAATTACTTAGTTCATCTTCAATGGGATTAGTTTTATTGTTAATTGGTCTTCTTATTCTCTTCAAGATTCTTATGTCTATATCATTAAGATGATGTTCGATAGAGGAAAATTAGTTTGTAACATATAACTTGATTATCAGCATAGAGTTTGGTGGAGAATTTCTTAAGCTTACATTGGAGGTAGGTTTATACATTAAAATACTTAAGATACTTATCTGGTCCGCTTGTCTCCTAATGTGTTGATATTTATAATAGGTTCTCGATGCAAATAGCTGCCATGAACAAGCTACATAAACGCCATGAATGCCATTTCAAAGTAAAGATTCCTTTTTTTTCTATTTAAATTTATACTGCTTATTTCTGTTCTGCAACTTGCTATCTCTATAATATCCATGGTATAACAAGAGAAACATGTAGTAGTTAACTTCTTGGTTTTAGTCATGTTGCTCGTTTGTTAGGATAGCGATGTTAACCAATTCTAAAACTTCTAACTTCTTTAATATGATTGGAGCTATGATGTAATGTGTTGGTGAATACAATACGAGTTGCTTATTTTCCCTTTTCTTTTCTTTATCCACTTTCATTCACATTGTATTTCTGCCTTGTTTTTATTCTATTGTTCATCTTTTTCTTCCTTCTTGAGTTCGATCAATAGCATATGCAGAATTGAGTTTGTCCAACATTCTCCCAGTGATGTGAACAAGCTTTTGGGTAATTAATTTTAAATAGATATTTTTTCCCACGATCATATATTCGTACATGTATATTCTTCAGAGTCACTCCTTATTGGAATGTATCTTCTTATTCTAGTTATGAAGATTACGACGATGGTCCACTACCCAAGGCGAGAAAGATCAGAAGCACCAAAGCTGCTATTACTTCTCCTAGTTTGACTCTATCAAGTACCAAAGCGGGAAGTAGAAAGGAAATAGACATACATATGATAGAGAACTGTGAGAAACTCAAAATTGGAGGCATGGATACATCTGAACCTCATTCAAGTGTTAAAGGAAAAATCCATCAAGGTATTGAGGGCTTTACTCTGCTTCTAATTTTTTATATATTTGATTAGTGTTTATGGTTCTAGTGACATCTTACTAAGCTTTGAAATTTACATTAATTTCTATTACAATGGTAGGAGGCCATGTCTATGCATTATCGAATAAGTTGTAAACAATAAGTATCATCTCAGCACTCCCTTGTTAACTTTTAAGTAGGAATTGCTAGGATTACTGTTTAATTGTCCAAAAACAAAAACTTGTTTGTATTTATACTGATCTAATATGGTAATGTCTTCTAAAAGAAAAGATTTTAGAAAGTCAAATAAGAAAAAATTTATACAGAAATTATCAATATTTGTTTATCTTACTTCATAAAAACAATTATCAGTATTTGTTTACCAGCAAGCATCAAACATTTCATTCTAGTGACCGGATATAAGTAAATATATAAAGTATAAAAAGAATCAAGTAATGCCATCTATCATATTGACCGGACAACTAAAAATAAAAATTTTATTATATTTTTAGCTTTGTCCCGATTCAGATTATATTTTTTACCATTTCACATAGTTGCAAATGAGTGGCAGCCTTAGCATGTGGTCTTGTTAGTTTAGAGGACAAAAATAATAAGTTTTGTGAAAAAAGTAACTTAAAATTGTAGTTGTCACATAGTATAGATCTATGTTGCTCGGACTCTCCAAAACAGCTTCCGCACCCGTATCGGATCCTCCAAAAATAAATTATTTTTGGAGGATCCGACACGCACCCGTCCATATTTTCGGAGAGTCCGAGCAACATAGGTATAGATTGTTGAGATCCTCAAAGATCGACCTTATGTTGTTAATTAGATTTTGTTCTGAGGTTCTTTATTTGTGTGTGTTGTGTTGGTTTCAAAGTATGCACGCAAAACATATAAGTGAATGAGGAACACAATGCGCTGACAGTTAGCACTTACCAAATTCGTGAGTGCATGCTTTGTTGCTAAATTTCATAAGTTTCCGTGGGAGTTCTTAAGTCTATTTTATGATTATCAGTTTTAAAAAGTAATTGTGCAATTATCACACTATTCATAGCTTGCCACTACAACAAAATAAATACTAATTTTTTGCTTTGATTTGTTTCCTATAAAGGTAGTGCAGTATACAAGGCATATAGCTCAGGAGACTAGTGGCGAGGTAGTATATGGCATGAGAAGGCAAACAACTATTCTTTGAACGCTTGACTAGAGATTAAGTAGTTGTTCAGATATCTGGCATGTGAAAAATTTCATCATGATCAAGAGTTGGAGAAACTTTCATGGCGCCATTTATATATAGTATTATAGCTATTTTATAATGCCAGTTATTAGACGACAAATTACGCTAGTTATTAAATTCAAATATGTTACCTTTTTGGTTATGTTGTTGACACTTTAAAATTATGAAATAGTGAATTTTGTTGTGTATTTAATTAAGTGTAATAAGTTTTTTGAGATTGATTCTTATTCTTATTATAATTAAATTACAATATGGATAATGTGCATTACATATTATGAAAAGAACCTTTCTTAATGCTTACTAGCAATAAGAAAATTCATAAGACGTCCTCTTTTGCCGGCAATTAGATGGATTTTTACCGGACATAACAAAAGCCTATGAACAAAGGCTAACTCATATATAGTTTTAGTGCCCATAACATTTACCGCTAAAAGGGCTCTTTTTACCGTCAATTGATAGGTCTTTATCGGCAATAACAAAAGTCATAAAATGTATAATATTGGATATCTTAGGGGAGTTTTAGTGGCCATTTTAATTGCCGGTATATAATTACCGCTAAAACTTAAGTACTTTTAGCGGCATTAAAAGGGATCTTTACCAGCAGTTCGTGCAATGGCCGCTAACGCCTTTAGCGACGCTGGCTACACCGGCAAAAAATTAATTGCCGGTAAATAGTTTAGCGTCAAATCGTATTGCCGCTAAAGAGCATATTAATTGCTGCTAAAAGACTTTTATTGTACTAGTGTCTAGGTATGATTCTAGACCCGTTTGAGGATGAACGTTTGTTTAAGAGGGGAGAATGTAACGACCTGATCAGTCGTTTTGAGTATTATAGCCATGTTCCCCCATTTATTGCTTATTCTGTGGTCACTTGTTGTTATGTGACTTGCCGGGGTGGTCGGTTTGGTTCCGGGGATATTTCGAAATGAGTTGGGACACCTAGTCCCAAGGTTAGAATCCTAAGTTGAAAGAGTTGACCGGATGTTGACTTATGTGTAAATGACTCCGGAATGGAGTTTTAATGGTTCTGATAGCTCCGTATAGTAATTTTGGACTTAGGAGTGTGTCCAGATATTGATTTGGAGGTCCGTAGATGATTTTGGCTTAAGTTGGCGAAAGTTGGAAAAATTGAAGTTTGGGGAGTTAAGAGGTTTGATTGAGAGTTGACTTTGGGGTTACCGGAATCAGATTTTGGTTCCAGAAGTTGGAATAGATTCTTGTGTCATTTATGACTTGTGTGCAAAATTTGAGGTCAATCGGAGTTGATTTGATAGTTTTGGCATCAATTGTAGAAGATGGAAATTTATTAGTTTCAATAGGCTTGAATTGAGGTGCGATTCGTATTTTTGATGTTGTTTGATGTGATTTGAGGCCTCGACTAAATTCGTATTGTGTTTTAGGACTTTTTGGTATGTTTGGTTGAGGTTCTTGGGGCCTCGAGTGGATTTCGGCGGGTTAACAAATCGAAATTTGACTTAGGAGATATGCCGAAATGCTTCGGTCTGGTATCATCGCACATGCAGAAGTATTGGTTGCAGGTACAGAGTCGCACAAGCAGCTAGGTGCGAAAAAGGAGAAGGCAGTTGGGAAGCGCAGGCACGGAGGAGAAATCCGCAGAAGCGGACGCGTTCCTACGCGAAGTGCTCCGCAGAAGCGGAGGTGGGCAGTGTGGTTGGGATCGCAGAAGCGATGGGTTTGTCCGCAGATGCAGTCCCGCAGGTGCGAAGAGAGGACTAGAGGGGTGTGAGGTTGGGTGTCTAGTATTCTTCGCAGAAGCGGACGTGCGACCGCAAAAGCGGTTTCGCATATGCGAAATTCTTGGCCGCAGGTGCGATTTCGCTGGCAGAAGTGATATAAACGAGGGTTTGAGTAATTTTTTCATTTTTGAATGCGCATTTTGAAGGAGTTTTCGCTAAATTTTGAAAGTTATGCAACTTTTGGTCATTGTTATCTATTTATATTGTATAATCCTTGAATTTCTCCCATAGATTTGGTGTTTTTAAGGTGTAAATTGGGAATTTTTGGCCCATGTATTTGAGAGTAATAATTGTAGATTTGAGCGATGATTTTGGTGTCAGAATTTGGTAATTTTGGTATGGTTAGACTCATTGTTGAATGGGTATTCGAATTTTGTTAATTTTGTTGGATTATGAAATGTGGGCTCGGGGTTGACATTTTTAGTTATCTTTTGTTAAAGAACTTAGCTTATTCATATGGAATTGATTCATATAACTCGTGTTGATTGTACTGAGTTGTTTGTGGCTGGATTCGAGTAGTTCGGAGGTCGACTCGTGAGGCAAGGGATTGTTAAAGTAGAGATTTTTACGGTTTGAGGTAAGTAACACTTGTAAACTTGGTTAAGGGTATGAATCCTCGAAATACGTGTTATGTGGTTGGTGTTGAGTTGACGCACTTTCTAGGTGACAGGCATATGGGCGTGCACCATAGAAATTGTGACTCGGTCGATTTCATGGTACTGTGTAGTCATCAAACCTTGTTGCTATTCATGTGATCCCTATATATTAGAGTAATTGAGCTGCAATCCATGTTAAAAATCATATTTAGGCTATATGCTTATCCTGTTGAGACCCACTGGGATCTTTTCTACTATAGAATTATTTGCTTAAACGGAAATTTTATACTCAGTCACATCCAACATTTGCGTATCATGTCTCTGTTATTATTTGTTGTTGTATCATATATCATTGTTTGTGCTGGTTGGCATGAGATTTGTGAGCTCGAGAGACTGGAGAGATTGATGAATGAGTTGGAGCCTTAGAGCCGTGTTGTGAGAGAGGTTGTGAATCGGGCTGCACGCCGCAGTAGGACTTGTTGGCTTTATATATATATATATATATATATA